CCCACACCCACCCACACCCACACCCACACCCACACCCCACACCCTCATGGTATATACCAGAAGATAGAGAATTAAAAGCTGAACAAAATAAGCTATAATGATATAGTATAATGTCTAGCAACTCAAATTTTATAGAGCCAACATGAGTCAAAGGGGGTCCTTTTGATCAGTCCAAGCACAACAATGTACCTCTTGCTGTGTTTCAGGATCAGAGGTGCCCAAGCTGAATTTTATATATGTTGTGCAACTTTTTTTCTCTACGAAATGGTAAAAAAATATTCAAAAAAAAAAATTCTAATCGTTGTAAAAAAGAGCTTACACCTCCTCGTTTTTTATGGTTTTTGATCATTTTTCAATAGAAAATGAACATTTTTAGCGGTTTTCATAATAGAACGAGTCATGCATAATATTTTGCTGGAATAAGTATTTTATCATAGACACCGTATTGGTTAGTGAAAATCTCTAAATAGAGAGTTTCAGAAGTCATTGATATTTTCCTTAGTAGTAAACTTCGTATTTCTATTCTGTATATATGTTTTTATATAGACTCAGGCTATCTTTACAATCATTGTATTGATGTGTTTCCTTTAGTTTTCGAATACGTCCTTTTATACATAGCTAAATATGACTTTTATCTTCATCCAAACATATTCGTCGTTTGGGATTGTTTTATCAATAATATATTAGAAAACAGATATTGTGTTGAATAATTATCGATTTGAATACATGCTTGAGATTGATGGTATAGAAAAGACGTATTCTTCTTTGATAAAACGATATCTCTATATTTCATTCGTTCAATTGAACAATTTGAAAAAAAAATGAAACAGGGCAAACAAGACTCGAGACACAAACATTTTGTCTTGTAAGACTCTAGCCTTAATTGTTTTGATGATAACATAAAAGTATAGATCACACATAATTTGTAACACTCAGTAGTTCTTGGTTCACTATTGCATTTGTTTCGATCCTGGATAGAACAAAGCAGTGTGTAAAAGTGCCGTATTCAACTGCCGTAAAACATGCGATATTTGTCCAGTGCCCTGAAAGCATCGTAACTATGCCACATCACACAAGAAGTTTTAGTCCAGCTCATTATGCCCCATTATCTTCATGAACTGCTTTATGATAAAAAGAATATTGCTCTCCTTTTTCTACTGCTTTTAATGTTTTTCTTGTAAATCAATATAAGAACAGCATGAAAGTGTCTCTTTTTTAAGCAACACTGTGCTTAATGATGAGTCGGGTACTATATTAGTGAAAAGAAGAGTGGTTTCTCAACACCTTTTTCTTGTCATTTCTTCACATCATTCGAGAAGTTGCTATGTTCAATAGAAATTCATTATCTATCGTTAAGTTATAATCTAATAATTAAAGATTTTCTTTTACTTAGATTTGATTAAAATGCAACACCTATTGCTGTCCTTCAGAAGAACCGACAGGATTTTAGTGGATTCTTGAGACCTTCGACATTTTCTCTTGTCTGAATCTTGTATCCTGAACTCCGATAGGACTCTGTTGAAAGTTATCAGATTATTTGAGGTATCACATTGGTTCTTATTGAATTCGATATTCTTCGTTCCAGATAGTATCACTTGAACGAAAGTAATACTATTATCCGTTACACATCCTTATTGTTTACGGTGTTATGCGAGGCGCTTTTTTTTAAGTCATCAAGATACTGTATTCGAATCCTATACAATAACTGTAATAAGGCACCTCATTTTATACATTTTCTAAGATTACATGCCAATTTTACAGTTGATCGAACGCTACAATTCTTTTAATATGGAAAAACTTATCTCACGCATTAGTGACTGCTGCTGTTCGATTCCATATTACTGCTTCCATTGACTTATCTAAGCGATAAGAAAAAAACGCTCATATTTTCTATACAAAAAAAGAGAAATGAAAAACTTTTCAAGTAAACACTCATTGATCAGAAGGACCTGGAAAATATTTAAAAAATTGAAATAAGATCTCATATTAATTCTCTTTTTCTATAGTGAATACATTCATAATTTTACAAGAATAAAAAATAAAACATCTATCTACACATTATTCAAATAACAAATAATTTTTCCATAATTAAACAAGTAGAATGTGTTCTGATCTAACTGTATAAAGAATAGTAAATTCGTATTATTATTTATCAAAGAAAAAAAAATGAATACATCATACTACAATAAGAGTTTGTAGAAGTCAGCAACCGATCGACCTCCAATGCCCCTATCCTAAATCTGCCACTGTATTTCTTCCGCTTATGTATTTAGCTCACTTCTTTCGGTCAGATTTCAAGTCACAGGATCATAGTTTAACGAAAAAGATCTGTGATG